ATCGTTGGGGTGGCCCGGGGTGGATATGTACAGCTGAGTATCATCAGCGTACTGATGGAAATCCACCCCAAAGCCACGAATGATCTCCCCCAGCGGCTTCACATAAATATTGAACAGGAGTGGAGAGAGGACCGACCCTTGTGGCACCCCACAAGTTAGGGGCCTTGGGGTCGACCTCTGTCCCCCTGCCAATACAGACAGCAAAGAGGTCTAAAAAGTCCTGTGTTGGGGGGGGGGTATTCATAGCCCAAGGATGCAGTTTATGACTACACTGAGGTCTGAGGGTTTTGTTTTGGATGGGTAATGGTGGCTGTAGGCAATTCACTAAAGCTTTCTTTCAGTATGGATTGTTTGTACTTGGTTCCTAGTTATATTACAGATGCAGAAGAGATGCTGATCCCTTCAGATGAGGGCAGAGTTCACAGCTGCTGCTTTGCATGAATGAGTGAAAAAAGGAAGAAGTTTAGCATTAAGTGTTGAGAAATGCTATTAAACCCTCCCTTCCCTCCTCCACACCCCTGCACTAACCAATGTTCCTTAGGCAGACAGGAACACAGAGGACATAAAAGGGAATGTACAAAGATTGGGGTGAGGGGACCAAGGTTGAAAAAAAAATGCAAAACAATGAAGAATCTCTCTTTGACCGGGAAGAAAATTTGGGCTGCAGTTCTCTTACCAGGGATCCACTACCTTTATTAGGTCAAGTGAAAGTTCAGATGATACAGATCGTCCTCAACTTACAACCACAATTGAGCCCAAATTTTTTGTTGAGAAGTACAACATTTGTTAAGTGAGTTTTGCCCCATTTTACAACCTTTCTTCCCATAGTTGTTAAGTGAATCACTGCTGTTGATAAGTTAGTAACCCAGTTGTTAACTGAATCTGTCTTCCCCATTGACTTTGCTTGTCCAAAGTTTGCAAGAGGTGATCACATGACCTTGGGACGCTGCAACCGTCCCAAGTATGAAGCAGTTGCCAAGCATCTGAATTTTGATCACATAATCATGGGAATGCTACAAAGGTTGTAACTGTGAAAAATGGTCGTGTGTCACTTTTTTCAGTGCCGTTGTAACTTTGAACAGTCACTAAATGAACTGTTGTAAGTTGAGGACTACCTGTATTTTCAAGTTTTCAGGAACTGTTTCATCCAGCAAGGTGAACATCAGAAAAATAAGGGAAGAAGAAAGAAAAAAGTGGAGATTATTTATTTATTTAGCAAATTTCTACCCTGCCCATCTCACCTAAGTAAGAGACTAAGATCATATACACAAAAGCTTTATCTCTTTTTCCTCTTGATTTTGAAATATTTTGCCTAATATAAATACTTTTATGAAACTATAAGACTTGCAGTTCTTTAATGCACCTTTCATTACAGTTAGTCCTTCACTTAACAACCAGTCATTTAATGGCTGTTTGTGATTACCATTCTATGCTGGCTTCTCCAGAAAGCCAATGGGAAAGCCAGCAGGGAAGCTGCAGGTTGCAGGGATGGAGTATTTTAGGTCCATTCAAGCAGCACCCCAAGGGATTTCTCCTCCCCACACAACATTTCTCAGCGCGATGCAAGAACAAACCTCAAATTCTGAAAATATGTTAGCTTACAAGGGCTAGAAAGCTAGTGAATGCCATAATTCAGAACAATGGTGTTTGCTACCTTTCTAGCCTTCCTAGACTAGGAAGGCTAGCTAACATAATCGCTCTCACAATAGTTTGGAAGGTCCCTTCTCCAAACTGCAGTTTGCAGAAGGAGCCTTCCTACAATTGTGAGAATGGAGCCTACTTGCAAGATGGTGCAAGGTGACCTTGGAAGGACGGCTGTACCTTGAATTGGGTGGGTGTACCTACAGCTGCAGAAAAAGGCAAAAGTTAGTGGACCTGGGCATAGTTGGGCAGGGAGAAGGCCCTCTCCCGGGACTCTACTTAACAGCAACACAATCAGTTAACAACCGCAACTGAGAGAGCTGGGATTGTGGTTATTAGGCAAAGCAGTCACATGGATGTTTCACTTACTAATTATTCACTTAGTGAATGACCAAGATTCTGGTCCCATTTGTGATTGTAAGTCAAGGACTACTGGTATTCATAATTAGCTTGGTTGCTTTGAAATCAAGTAATTTTTCTATGAAAGAGATATTAAGCTGTTAATATGGCATTTTTTTCAGAAACAAGTTTACTTAACTAGAAAATAGTGTCAACCCTGATTGTACCATTAGTTGTTTCCACTTTTAACTTTCCCAGAGCTTTGAGAGGTAGGAGACACCTTAAATAATTATTTTTAATTAGAAGTTTAGTCAACACATCTTGTGAATTTTGGAGGAAGACAAATAGTGATTCACCTCAGGACTTTTCTACTCATAAGATGCCATTTCCACATATAAAATTCAAAAATTATTCCTGTGCTTAAGTATTTATTAGGTAAATCATTGTTCTTGGCTGTCATAATTTAAAAATTTTGTATTTGTTTATTATGTATACTGATAATAAATATATATGTATATATATATATTTGAATGCATATAGGAGAAGTCCAGATGTTCAAGCAAAGGAAGAATTGTGGAAACACATTCAGTAAGTATTTCTGCAAGCATGGATATCTACTATTAAATAATATTTTTTATGCATGTGATTGTTTAACTTTTAAACTTTTCTTTTCCAGAAAAGAACTCGTGGATCCATCTGGCCTATCCGAGGATCAACTAAGAGAGATTCCATATACTAAAATAGAGTGAGTTTATTTATTGGACAGGAGTTGTGATGTAATATGTTGTTGTCCCTATACAAATCTATATGAGGACATAATTTGAGGCTGATTATACAAGATTAAATAAGATGGCAAATATCAAACTAAATTTTAAAAGGCATAGATCTACTGTTTCTAACCTCCCAGAAATAAATGAAAATTACTAAGCTCCTAATATATATATTACATCCAATAAAAGTGAAACAATTACTTAGTTTATATTTGTTTGAGTTTCACTTGTGTGGGAAAAGTTCTGAAATATGGTATTGCAGAAATCCCTCTTTACCTGTAACTTAGCTGAGGTTGGCTATGATATGGGAATTGTAGTTCAATATTTTGAATGGCATGAAGTTGAGAAAGCCTGTCAAAGAGATTCCTGTCAGCATCAGGCACAGAAGTGGGTATTGTTTGGAGAAAATCATCTTTTATTTAGGAACTTGGTCATTGCTAAGTATTTTGAGACTCGAAGTCGATGCATCCGGGCATTCGTTAGTGACAAGTACCTTCGGCAGTAAATTGCATGATAAATCTAAATGTGGGGGGAAACTCCAAATCTTTACTTAGGCACTTGAATTATTCACATCAACTTTAGTCCCCTTTGTTTTCGGTATGCCTGGGGCAGATAATGGATTTAGGTACGACTGCATCAAATTTGGCTTTAAGTGGTATCTCTACATTCCTGTGATTTTATTTATTTATTTATTTATTTTATAGGATTTATATGCCGCCCTTCTCCCTTCATGGGACTCAGGGCGGCTCACAGCATATTAAAACATCATACAAAAAATTTCCCCTACTAAAAACCAATTAAAACCCAAATATTGGTAGCTGTGGCTCTTTAAAATCGTTAAAAATTGTCCCTATCCTGTTAAATAATAGAGAGTTTTCATTCATGGAGACTTGGGGGGGAGACTTTCAAGCTACCTTCCATTTTAAAGTTTTAAAAATGTACTCTTCCTCTGATCATCCAAACTGACTCTTTGACTTCCTTGACCTTCTTTCCTCAGCATAGTATCACTAATTGCCAAAGCACAGTTGGTCCTTTCAGATCAAGCTCCAGTTTCATTCCAGTAATTGGCCATCTGGGATTTCCATGTGGTGATGTGAACAAGTGCTTCTGACAGGAGCTGAATCATGTTTTGCATCATAATGTGATTCTGACTCACCACTGAGTAGGAATAAAGAATAGTGGTACAGGCATGAAAGCTAGACATGAAACATTTCCTTCAGCACATTTATCTTTCAATGTGCATGCAGGCACATGTCGTTTTGTAAGGCTTTAATCTCAAGATAATACTATTGGAAATGTGTGAACAACAAGCGACTTTTAAGGCTGAGATAAATTATAAAGGTTTCTCAGTGGGTTCTGAATAATAATAAAAAAAATCATGACCAAAATGTCAGGATAAAATCTACTGGTGTGTTCTCTCTGTCAGAAACATATTTTTGTGAGAAATTAAGCCTTCAGAGCTTACACAGTTTACTCAGTTTCCTTGGGTACAAGTTTTGGATCAAAGGTCTTATGAAAAGAAACATTTAAACCTTTATCCTAATAGTTTATGTTATAACATTAGAAACAGAGCTACATGTATAAAATTCTAACTTTAAAAGAGATAATAATATTGCACTTTAGCCAATGTTAAAAGGATGGTGACGGAATAATTTATGAGTGAGTGAGTGAATGAATGAATATTTATATAGCCTCATTGATTCTAGGTGACTTGCAGAGATACATTACCATTTTCCTCTTTTTTTAAAAAATAAATAAATAATTGTTTTGGTGCTGAAACTTGGCTATGTACACATACACACAAATATATATATACATTTATAACTTTAATTTGGACATAGATGTAATACTTTGAAGAAATGCTTTTTCTATTATAGTCATCTTCGTAATTCTTATGAACAAATAATGATTTGGTCCTGGAAATTTTATTTCTTCGTTAGGACTCAAGGTGACCCTGTTCGCATTAGACACTCACATTCTCCTCGAAGCTATCGCCATTATCGACGATCCCAGTGCTCTGATGGGGAGAGATCTGTTCTGTCAGAAGTGAAGTAAGTATGTTAATCACCGAGGAAGATGGATGGTTGTTTGATAAACATTACAGTGCCAGTTACAAGACATGCAGCTTACAACAGAATGCTCTGGGAATATTTGCTAGAATATTTAGTTTTCTGGGAAATTATTCAGGGGTCACTCTGATCTAGCAACCAGGAGTGACCTGTTACTGAATTCTTCACTCTGTGATGACTGAAAGGGAATCTACACCCTTGTTGAAGGGTGATGGACCTCATTTTCAGAAATAACATACTCTGCTAGACATTCAAATTAAAAGATAGGCCTCCTCATCAAGAATTTTTAATAGAACCAAGTAAAAAGCATGCAATTATCTCTGAAATATAGATAGATAGATAAAAATCAGCAACCGAATGATTTACACAAATTCAAGCTCCTTCCTTTTATTTTATAAGCACTGTGCCTTTTGAGGTTTGCTTTCTTTTCCAGTGCCAAAGCAGATCTTGTTCCTCCTCTCCTGGTTACCCGCTCCTCGGATGCTCATTGTCCCACCACTGCAGTATCTCATCAGGTTAGTAATGGCTTTTAATCATGCTTGAATATTTAAAGTGCAAAGATGTTTAACATGGTTTTAATTTGTTCAATATTTGTTTACTTCAGCGGCGAAATGGATCTAAGGACAGCCTTTTAGAAGAAAAAATACAAACATCTATCAACAATGTGGATGGAAAACACAGTGCTAAGACTATAAAAATTGTTCCGGCATCAAGGCTCAAGATAGAGACCTGATTTTTATCACACACAAGACTCTGGAAGAATGCAAATCCCAAATCCAAATAAACACTTTTAGTTTGTGGGTTT